TGCGAGAATCGGTAACTCTCGATCCTTCTTGAATAATGCATTGAGCGACTCTGCATTATTCGACGTCATCATGTTGTATCGACATCCTGAAAAATGTGACCGTGCCCAATGTTCAATCCCCATTTTGTTAGATAATCCCTTGTCAGGATTGATTTACTGGCAATTTCGACTATAAACTTATTACACTACTCAATACTGTAAGTTTCGACTACTTTTCTAAACAATGAAACGATGTTTTTGCTCCGATACCTAGTCTTCAAAATGCCTAGTATGTGGTACATGCAATACTATGATGTGTCTCGGGAAAAACTTCAATGATACCATTTATTATAGACTGTTCCTGTTCCTGATTAGTTTCAAAGGCAAAATCCTCAACTTCTCCGATCACTTTCCTCAGCTTTATAAAGAACAAAAGCATTGACTGATCATTCTCACTGTAGACTATGTCGAATGCAAGAGAGTAAATTTGAATGTCGGTATCTTGAAATGTAGCAATAATCAACTTGTCTTGCTATCTAACTTTCAGAGTTGTACCATCGACTAGAAATACGGGTCGCATTGCATTTCGAAATCTTCGTATGCATTGTCCAAGAGTCATGAACAAATATTTGAAGCAATTCTTTCCTTCCGAATCAATAAAAAATGTCGAGCGAGGATTAATTCTCCCCATATTATGACAATACCCACTTCACAAGTATGTTCCCGCGCATACTTACGAACAACAAAGAACTCATTTGTGTCCATCTTTGTCGCACTCAAACACCAATTGCAATTGTTGTCCACACAAATAATTGTGTATGTAGACTTGTTTGATTTTTTTACCTTAAACTCAAAATTATGTTTCATTGCAATTCGGTGCGCGGCTTCTTGCAAATCTCTTTTCGTGTCAAACAATTGATCGACATGTAAATCTTCATCATCAGGAACTACACGCGAACAATTAGAAGACCGTGTACTCGGCCCAGCATGTGAGCTCCCACCAGACTCATGTCTCTGTCTGGATAAAGTAATCAAATCCTGATTTGTAAATGGCCTTTCATCCTCGTTGTCTTGAACTTCCTCGTAAATCTTTCGTGTAACGGTGACATCATGGTGAGTAGCAACTGCCCCAAGAATAACCACATCATCCTCCCGAGCAATTCAATAGTATCCCAAAAATCATTCTCATTACGATCCTCTCCATCAAAAACTTCGTGTTCACCCTCGATGACATTTTTCTTCAGCAAACTTACGTAAATAGGAGTCGTCTTTCGACTTTGGTTCAATTGAATTAGATACTTTATTTGCGCTTCAGAAGTAACTTTTAAAGGTGGAATCGAAATTGTTGAATGCTTTTGAAATAAAAATCCCAATTCCATATCGTACTGAGAGGAATCGACGTTAAGCATGTTTTGTATTTCACTGTACATTTCTGTAAACGAAGTATTTTTTGTTATCGAAATAGCAGCAACCCATTCTCCTTCATTCGTCCATTTCCATTCCCATTGACCATTTTCTTTCCTTTGAAATTCGCCGAAATAACAGATTAGGACACATGCTTTTGCCATCTCTGCATTACGAATTAAAAATATCAGAACAAATTATCAGAAATAAAATTATCAGAATCGAGGGGCGGGGGAGTCTGCAAACGGAAGGTCGGGACGGTCTGGACCGTCGTTCAATCCGACGTTCCGGCGTCTGATCGGTGCCGGCCTGAACTTTGGCTCTAATATTATTTTTTCTACCATTTAAAAAAAATATACGACTTCAATAAAAATAAAATTAAATACTACGAAAAGATACTAACCGAATTGAAGTGCTGAAATTTAACTAAATTTTTCTGTTGAGGTTGATAACTGATAAGTTTATAAAATTTTGAGGTTGAAGTGGATGAAAAATGAAAGAGTTTTTATCGTGTTAGAGTAAACTGATGAAGAGACTGGCTTCGTTTTCAAATTTCAATTGAGAAGTGTTTGGATTTTTATTTGTAACTTAAGGATATTTTTGTCTTTTTACCATATTTCTATTTTTGTAATTATATAACTCATTTAAGGGCGTTTTTGTCTTTTACACAAGAAATGGCTATTGTGGTTAATGTTAGATTTTTATGGTTAAAATGGAAAATGGTTGGTTTGACAAAGCCAAACTTAAAAGTACCCCCATGATTTAGCCACATATACATGTAAGTTTACTGCATAACTCGTGCTAGACAAGAATTGACTCTCTTTACACTAGTAAAGTACTCTGCCTTATTTGAAAATTCAATTTTGCTACATGTATATCGTAATTTATACCTAACTTATCGAATTTATACTTGACACAATTTTGCATCATCTTTCACATCTTACATATTTAATTCAACCATCACAATCTTGCCACATCATCCATCTTTCAGAGCTAAATTGTGCAAAAATTGGAATAAAATAATAATTTATTAGGTAAACGGTAAACCTATGGGAAACTAATTAATGAGCAATTAATGCTTCAAGGTAACCCTACTTTCTAAATTACACATTGATATATTTTAAAAATAGTCAAATTGTCATTAAAAAATGAAAAAGATAAGGGATGGGGAAAATAGAAAGTGGTGTGGAATTAGTATTTTCTGCCTTCCCCCTATTTTTTTTCCAAAATGTATGTTGAAATAATATTTTGATGAAAAATCCGTGATTAAAAATAAATAAATTGAATTTGTGTGTAATGTTATTTTATTGAAAATTGTGTTATTGAAAAGAATATAGAGATATGCATTTTAAAAATAATGACAATCAAACTAGGGCTGAATTAGAAAACACAAAATGAATAAATAAGGTTTCATTCGCGCCACATCTCACCATGGCTTTCCTTGCTCGAATCAAAGGTTAAAATAATAAATGAAAATAAATTTTAAATTCAAGGTGGTCAAGTTAAATTGATTTCAGTTGAAGGATTGATTCACCAGGTTTTCATCTTGATTTTTAGCTCTAGTTCTTAGGTTATAAGTCAGATTGGCATCTAAACTTACCGGTAGATTCAGTCTTGTTGGTCCAATTTTCATTGCACTGCGATTACTCTTAACTTTTGTCAACATATGTGGTTGGCACAATGGTGAAGTGAGGAATCGATTTCATATGAACTTTTGTAAGTTTTCACGTTTAATGACTTAATTTTCAATTTTATCAATTATATATCTTTTTTCAATTTTATAAAACTTGCTACCTATCAAAGGTTTAATTAAAAAAAATGCTCACAAACTTTCTTCAAATGGTTACTTATTTAATGACCTAAAAAAAGGAAAAAAAAAATCATATTTCAGGTGTATTGTTTCCACTATTTCAAAAATCATGTAAATATTATGAAAATTCAAAATTTAGGTATATTATTAATTAATTAAAAATATTTATTAAATAAAGATAATAATCACAATTAAACGATTAATGGTCATAGATTCATAATTATAGGTCATATATTTATTTATTGGTTATATATTGTCAAATTAATTGGTCACAGAATATTTTGTGGTCACAAATAAAAATTTTTATAGGTCACAGATTATTTCGAGAGGTCACAAATCATTCAAATTACAAGTTACATTTTATTTACGTATCACATAGGTCACAAATAATTTTTTAGTTCAAAAACACCTAATATTTTGTTACAAATCAGCGAAATAATGGGTCACAGACACCAAAAAGTTGGTCACAAATTCCAAATAATTGGTCTCAGATTTCAAACACTTTCTCTATCGGTCCTGAACCAACACCAATCTTGATCCCAAATCACCACCACCTAATTGCAGCTTGCACCACACCACTGCATCACCAAACCCTATCCCGATCGCATTCCACTACAATACTTGGTCATAAACACCACACACCCCGCCACAACACCATCACAACCATTACCAACAACACCACCACCGCTACCCACCAGCCACAGCACCAAGCCAAGTCGGCAACCAGTCGCCACGTGCTCCCCCTTCAACATACCAACAATACTATACCACCACCACTGCAACCTAACCGCTACAGTAGCACCACCGCCACCAACAAAACACATCCCAAAATTACTCCACAATCACCATAAAATCAAATTCATAGCTGAAGACCACCCCAAAACCATGATAAACAATGGAAAACTACCCCAAAACCATGACTAAGCACTGAAGTGCGTGAGGCTGGAAAGGATGCTCGGATCAAGGTGTGTAAAATGAACGACAGGACACTGCTCACAGCGTTGCTACTCGCGACGGTCAATGGTGATGTAGCTGTACAGACGATCCATGGTAACACCGCTGCGTCGGAGATCCTCTTCCAATGGTGACGCCGCTATTGTTGAGAGAGGAGAAATTAGGGAGGAGAAGATATGTGACTGCGTGTTGAGAGAGAGAGATAGAAGAGTGAGACGGGATTGGGGAAATAATCACCTGCACCATTAACTATCGCAGCTTTGAGTTCACGGTGGTCTCCGGCAATGGGCGGCGCGCCAGATGTGTGGAGAGAGTGAGGAGAGAAGATGAGTGAAAATGAAAATTTTAGGGTTTGGAATTTGAATGGAAAAGTTGGGTACCTGATTTATGATTAAACAAACTTATTATCTGATTTTTGAAATGTAATTTTGAAATGCCTGGTTTTAGATAATTTCCACCTAAAAAAATGTATTTCATTCGTTAGGAAACTGTTTCGTTTCCTTCACGAAAAAAGTCCCTTTGCAAAAGGAAATTCCAATTGGCACTAATTTGATGCCAATTGGACATTTCCCGTTAAGGAAAGGAAATTCATTCCTAAAGAATGGCGAATGGAGAATATTTTCAAAGATGAGTTCTAATGATATGAATATTTTTGAGAGAGGCTTGATGCCCTGGACAAGGGGCTTGCTTGGAATAATTCCCTTGAACAACCCCCTGGTTTTGGGGAATGGAGAATATTTTCAAAGATGAGTTCTAATGAGATGAATATTTTTGAAAGAGGCTTGACACCCTGGACAAGGGGCTTGCCCCAATCTTTTTGGAATAATCCCCTTGAACAACCCCCGGGTTCTCGGGAGTTGTTCATGTAGCAAAGCCCAATCTTTTTAGTCCAGTAAGTAAGTACAAATTTCAAGAAATTTTAGTGACCATTTTATTTAATTAACTCGCCTATCAAATTTGGCGAGTGATTTTAATTTAAAGAAAATTTATAGATTTGGCCGTTTCTATTGCCATATACAAATTGCGTAACTATAACGGATGATTAAGTTTTTTTTATAGAGTTGAAAACTAATTCACTAATTAGAGTATTTCTAAGAGAATCAATGCTTAAATAGGTTTCAAGAGACTTTCTATTTTAACTTTTAAAAGTAGAGATTGATTTTGACTTTCCAATTTATCTCTATTTTTATTTTATAATGGTTGTATTTAATAATTTGCAATTTTTATTGCTCTATCTAAAAAGAAATATATTAATTAAAAATAAAAAATAATACTTTTTTTTTCGGGAAAAGTAAATTAAAAAGTCAAGATAGGAAGATTTTTTGAGTGTATTAAAAATTTCTTTTAAATTTAAAGATAATTTTTGTTATGCATGATGTGCTTTTTATAGAGAGAGACATTGGAAAATACTATTAGACAATAGGTTGAGGGCTAATGGTGCAATTTCTCTTTGCGTATGTGTATACAACTTGTTCTGTGAGAGTGGTCTTTAAATTTGGGAATACGCCGAACTGCCGAAAAAATTTGCTAGAAAGGATGACCCCCTCTTCCAGCTGCTGCGGATCCCGTCATGAATAAAAAATGCCGACCACTGTAGCTATATCTCTTCTGTCAAGCCGTCTGTCGACCATTTTAGCGCTGTAGCACGGTCCTTAAATTTGTAACAATGCTACGGTGACCAAATGTTTTTAAAATGACGGCTGATCGACACTCGTTATAGAAGGGATGCACTTCTTTTTTGGACTTATTTATTCACGCGAGCCCACAGACTATGAGAAGATGTCAATCATTATATAAAAAAAAAATTTAGTAAATAGTTTAATTGTTAAATTTGGCTGTCTGAACTATTTTTCATTGGCTGAACTGAAAGAGAAGGCCGCCCCAGTCCAAAAATCGTAGTGAGAGAAAGTAGTGGTGAAGAGAGTGGAAAAAAAATTAAAAAAAGGTTTTAAGAAAGCGTAGTTCGTTGAACTCTCAAAGGTCATTATTTTTCTTCATTTAGCTGCCTTTGACAACCCATTTAACGAAGATTCACAATTCATATTCGCATATAATATCAACTTCATCGAGAGAAAATGGGAAGACACTAATTTAGTACTCATAGATCCATTTCTTGGATACGAATACAGAGGGAGAACTGACTTTGAAGATATCTTTTTTGCAATTCTATTTTGATTTTGTGATTTTCAAGATTAGATTTAAAGGGTTGTCAAGAAACTTTACTATATGGAGAGAGTGATTTATCACTCCTCGAACCATTCTTGAATATGAATACAGGAGGAGGAAGGGCTGTAAAGAAAAATCTTGCCATTACTGGGTATTTATTATTATTACTATTATTATTTTTTATGATTTTCAGGATTAGATTTTAAACGGTTGTCAATAAATTTTGTAGTTGTTATAATGGAAAATAGTGGAGCACAATCATCGGAAGATCCGGCTCCGCCGCCGCCGCCAGCTGAGGAGCTACTGAAGAAGATCGAAGAACTAGAAATAGGCCATGCCCACTTGAAACAGGAGGTGTCTAAGCTCGTAAATTTATCAACACCGACTGCTCCAGGTGCTTCCGATCATCGTCCAAGGCAGAGGTCCCAATCTGTTTCGCCGCAGCGGGCGTCACGGAGGAGGGCCGGTGGTGGAGATGGAAGCGCGACGGTGGTGTGGAGGAGGGGTTTGGCCCCATTCCAGCATTCGTCGCCGTTGCAGAGAGAGAGTAATAGCAGGGAGATGGATCATGGGAGTGACGGTGAAGGACCGGCGGCGGTAAAGTTTACTGATAGGCAGTACTTGAATATATTGCAGTCTATGGGGCAATCAGTGCATATATGTGATCTCGATTATCAAATTATTTACTGGTGGGTCAATTGAACTGAAATTGGAAAGTTTAAATTTGTGTCTTTGTTTGATTGATTGTATTGCTTTTTAGCCGTGCTTAAAATCAGCTTTTTAGCATTTCTTGGTAGAGACATGCTGCCCAAACATCCTCAATGTCTGCTTTTTATAAGTTCAAAAGGATGCAAAAATGGAGTATTGATAACAAATTGAATGTTTTTAATGTGTTCACATTGCATAAACATAGATGATCAACGAGAACTTATTGGAAGTGAATTATTACTTGGATTTATTCAGAATTGTTATCATTTCAATGTAAGATTGAAATCTATAATAAATCTTTGCTGAATATGTTTGTATTGCTCAGGAATAGAAGTGCGGAAAATCTTTATGGATATTCAGCTGCCGAGGCTCTAGGGCAGGATGCTATTAAGCTACTAATAGACAATCAGGATTTTGCTGAGGCTAGTGACATAATGCATCGAGTGACCATGGGAGAGGGTTGGACTGGGCAGTTTCCTGTTAAAACTAAGAGAGGGGATAGGTTTTTAGCTGTTGCGACGAACACTCCTTTCTATGATGATGATGGCACTTTGGTGGGAATTATATGCGTATCGAGTGATTCCAGACCTTTTCTGGAAGCAAAAGCAGCAATGTCTAGGGGCAAAAGCTTGGAAACAGATTCTAGCTTTAGCAGGCCGAGAAGCGTTGCTTCATCCAAACTTGGCCTTGATCCTCAGCAGCCTATACAAGTAGCAATAGCCTCGAAAATATCAAATTTTGTAAGTATTCTAGTTTTCTTGTTTATGCTAATTTTACTCATGTAGCTTTTGTTGACTTCAAGAAAATCTTGAAATAGGCTTCTAAAGTGAGCAACAAGGTTAAGTCAAAAATAAGGTCTGGGGAGAATGGCTCGGATTTTGAAGGTGGAAGTGGAGATAGCCATCACTCTGATCATGGTTTCTTGGATGCAGCTTTCTCTGACCATAGGGAGGATGCGGCTTCTAGTGGAGCTAGTACACCCCGAGGAGATATGCATCCTTCTCCTGTTGGAGTGTTCTCCAGTGCCGGCCATGAGGAACACTCCCCGGGTAGGCCGTCCCGAGAATCTGGTGATGAAAGTGAAGGGAAACCGGGGATTTCGAAGATCATTACTTCGAATGCAGGAGCTTTGATTGGTAAGAAAGGTTTGTCTTGGCCATGGAAAGGGTTTGAACAAGATGATGGAACAGAAGCAAAGACTTCTCGTTTTGTCTGGCCGTGGGCACACAATGACCTAGAAAATGAGTCGGGTCAGCAAAAGAGTTCTGGAGCCACTTCAAAATTGGAAAATCCGCTTGCTGAAACTGATCAGTCGGCTAATAATGATGCTACAGGGTCGTGGTCCTCATCGGCCAATGTTAATAGCACTGGCAGTGTTAGTAGTTATGGAAGTACGAGCAGCAGTGCTGTTAATAAAGTTGACCTTGAGACTGACTGCTTCGATTATGAAATCTCGTGGGAGGACTTGACAATTGGAGAACAGATTGGGCAAGGTAAGTGCATTCCATGTTTACGTCTGTCTATATGTATTTTGTAATGCTTTGCCTATCTATACATCATCTAAGGTATTACATAAATTAAAATATCAAAGTTGCACTGGATGCGACTGCTGCTGCTATTTCATGTAATAGGGTTTTTGAAGGAACACGACCCAAGTTGTGATCTACTATTTTACCGTGCCCTTTCGTTTCCCTTTAGCTTTGAATTTCCATAAACATCTCACATCTTTCTTTAACTTGTGTGCAGGTTCCTGTGGAACTGTATATCATGCTCTGTGGTATGGATCAGTATGTTCTTTGGCTCCTCTTTTTGGTAATTTTGTATCTAGAAGAATGTATGAAAGTAATTAATTCACAAAATATTGTATATGATATAGGATTTCTAGCATTCTAATGACCTCCATCCTAATAAAAATTAATAATTAGGCACAATACGAGGAGATCATAACCCAACATTTTAACTAAATATTAGTTTATAGCGTTTACTTTATCCCTTTTTAGCCAAACGTGCAGTTACTCCTGCAACATGTGTTTTTATAACTCTAAAACTAGGAAGTTGTTCCAGCCAAGGAATATACTTGTGCATGTACAGTGTACAGTGCATTGTTTCTGAGATTATTAGTCTTGCTTTACTTCTAAAATATATTAGCTAAAATCACGAAATATGTCTTGTTGTCTAATTGAACAAATGATAATCTTAAGCAGGATGTTGCTGTCAAGGTATTTTCCGGACAAGAATATTCTGATGACGCAATATTTTCCTTCAGACAGGAGGTATTTATTTATATAAGCATAATGTTCAATTTTTCCTCTATTTTACTAGAGTTGTACTTTTATTTGTATTGGAAAGATTCTAGCCATCACATTGCAAAGAGCTACACGTTGTGGCTTAATTAGTATACTCTTTTTGGTAAAAAAGAGGAAGACTTCTTCTATAGTAGGTTCTAATCATGTGATACATGCTGTCTGACAATAATTGGTTTCATGGTAGAAGTATTGTGTTTTGTTGAATTGCATCTAAAATTGGACCATGTTTTGATGAGATGGTCGGTAAGTTATATTTGACAGTATTGGACAATATTAAGAAAGAAAAATAAACTAAAACTTTGTTCATTGTAGTGTCTAGTACCATCTAATACTATGTAGCAACCTAGAGAGGCCGAATGTACATTTTCTTTCAGTCTTGTTATGCATTTTATTGGTATTAATACCAAATAAGAAACTCAATTCACATTGGTAGGCATGTCCTTAAGAGTTCTTTGGGTTTTGAAGGTGTCACTTATGAAAAGACTTCGACATCCAAATATTCTGCTCTTCATGGGTGCAGTTACTTCACCTCAACGTCTTTGCATTGTTACAGAATTTCTTCCACGGTATATTCTACTCGTGCTATTCTTCCCTTTCTCTTCATTTTTGTTCCTTAATGCAATCTCACAGGTTCTTTATGTCAAGATTCAGTGTCCTTCCATTAACCATTTAGCAGATTGGTTTAATAATCTGTTCCCACCTTTCGTTTGATATAGTGGAAGTTTGTTCCGGTTGTTGCAAAGAAATACATCAAAAATGGATTGGAGACGACGCATTCACATGGCTTTGGATATAGTAAGTACCTTGAAACTTTAGGTATATTTCTGGAATGAATTTCTTCAACTCTAACAATACCTTATTTTTGGTAGAGGTAGTGAACGGTTTTTATCTTCACATTTCGTTGAACTCTTTCTTTAGCCCTTACGTAGGTTCTTTACTGCATTCTCTGGATATAATAAGGAATTCTAGAAAAAGACGTTTTCATTGGTTCATTAGAAATTTTTATATTTTTACAGGCACGAGGTATGAATTATCTCCATCATTTGAATCCACCTATTGTTCATTTTGATTTGAAGTCTTCAAATCTTCTTGTTGACAAGAACTGGGCTGTTAAGGTAAGCTTCACTTAATTCATGTGCTTTAGAAACTCTTGATGAGTTGAAAGCTAACTTGTGGTTTTGGACAGGTTGGCGACTTTGGTCTCTCACGTCTTAAACACGAAACGTATTTGACAACAAAGACTGGGAAAGGAACGGTATTTAATTGGCACAAAAACTCTTCTTTGTGGTTATATTGATAGAATCATTTAGTGTCTCGTATGCTTTATAAAAAGCTTTAAAAGATGATTGAGTACCTACTTATATATGGTCATGCAGCCTCAGTGGATGGCTCCAGAAGTTCTTCGTAATGAACCTGCAGATGAGAAGTATGGCTAAGTCAATAGTGATACTAAATCTGGCTTGATACTAATAAAAAGAGATGATCTTCTGGTTCTAAACTTTGCTTCTTCTTTGGAATGATCAGGGCCGATGTCTACAGCTACGGAGTGATACTTTGGGAAATTGCTACCCAAAAGATTCCTTGGGATAACCTCAACTCCATGCAGGTATAACTAGTATTTCTAAAATTTAGAAATCATATTGAATAACTTCCTGAAGTGGGTGAACTAAGTGCAACCGTCTTTTGCATGAATGACCAATTTTCTTTCTGAATTTTGCAGGTGATTGGAGCTGTGGGTTTCATGAACCAACGCCTCGAGATACCTAAGGATGTTGTTCCCCAATGGGCTTCTATAATCGAGAGCTGCTGGCATAGGTTTGTGTCTTGTTCATGCTTGCTGTCCAATGGATTTCTTTTTGCACAGAGTGGACGACTTTTGGTATTAGCCGTATCACCTTTCTAGGATTGAATGTCTTCCTAATGATTTATGACCAATCAAATTTAGAGTCTTTTCATGATCCATGACATCATATAATTTGGATGAGTAGATTTAATATAGTTATAGAAGAGAGTTTCTGATGGTGTTAGAGATGTTTGGAATTCAAATTCTTGGTGTCTAGAGTTGGTTAAGGTCATTTACTTCAGTCCCTCTCTTTAGTGATTGAAGTTCTTGACATTACGAACGATTTTTTGTTTCCAATGGAATACAATGCGTGTCTAGGTCGGAAATTTTAGCCTGGACTCTACTTGTTAATTCATAAAAAGTTTACTACAATTGGAGGGGGACATATAGGGCAAAAAGAAAGAATTTTAGTTTTTTCATTGAATTGCAATTGAGAAAGAATTTTACACGCCTCACAGAACAACAAACACAAATGACATGCCGTAAAAATCCTTGTTCACTTTGCGAAGCCTTATGTTAGGTATACCCAGCATGTCTAAGTTCGCATTATGGATGGTATTACACATATTTTGATCAATCGTGCTTGGTGTACGATGTTGGATGCCAACTCAGTTGATAACATGCCAAATGGCGCGTTGTCAATGGACAGCTTGACCAGCAACTTATTTTTTTAACCACTTATGCTGCTTGAATAGGGTTTTTGACAGGTGCTGCATCGGTAGCACTTGTGTGACTCCCATTTTTTTTTCCCTTCCAAATTGACCAATGAAATGTTGACAGATGCTGCGTCGGTAGCACCTGTGTGGCTCCCCATTTTTCCCCCCAAATTGGCCAATAAAATGTTGACACGTGTTTCTCTGGCTTTAAATCTTGTCACTCACCTTGTTTGTGTAGCAAATCTCTTTTTTGACCTACAGTTTTTTGCCAACTTATACATTGTCAACAATGTTGTCATCCAACATTATACAAATAGCTTAATTCAAATTCTGATTGCAGAGGCTAAACCTTCATATACCATTGTTACCTGTTCATTTTGCAAATTATCTGTTTTGTTGATCTCAGCGAACCACAGCGCCGTCCAACATTTCAAGAACTAATTGAAAGGCTTAAAGATATGCAGAGACAGTATGCCATTCAATTCCAGGTTGGCCGTGCAATTGCTGGGGATGGCAGCCAAAAAGAACTATAGCCCTTAGAAGCTGTGCATTTTTGACATCGAGTCGTGCTCATATTGTGTACAACCGATATACAACATTTCCAGAAAGTCTACGAGTTGCTGGCAAGAACATGGTTTTCGCGCACCATGTGAACACAGTAGTTGATGGATTCAAGAGTGTATAATACGTGAAAAGGTCACACTGAGAATGTGTGTAATTAACAGAGATCATGAAATTATTTTGGTGGTGCATCCAACTAAATGAATTGTATGTATGCTGTAACCATTTATTGTCCATTCGGTTTTGCAGAGTGCATGCATATTACTGATATAATTTGTGGATTAGTTAATGTTGGAAAAATCGAAATGTCGTTCTGAAAACAGTTTAAGATGGTGAAATGCTTTGGACAACTTACAAAAATACCCTTAAAATTAGGAGAGTTTTGAAAAATCATATGAAAAAATATTTGGAAGTAAAAAAATACTATGTAAATTAAAAAGTGACAATACCACATTTTTTTTTTATAAAAATTGTATCGCTTTTTTTTTTTTTTGGTTTAAAAAGTGACGCAATGTCACTTTTAAAAGTTTAGTACGACTTTTTTATTAAAAAATTACATACAATGTCACTTTTATTAAAAAAAGAAAAAGAAAAAGAAAAAAGAAAAAGAAAGAAGTGATGTTTGTCACAAAAAAAGTTACAGAAATTTCTAAAAGATGATTGAAAAAAAGTGATAAACACTAAAAAAAAGTGACAATTTTAAAAAGGTGAGAATTACACAAAAAAGTGATAAGCTTAAGAAAAGTGAAGAATTTAAAAAAGTGACACAAATTAAAACAAAATTACATAGATTCAAAAAGGTGAGGGGCATGAAAATCATATGTTAAATGTCACTTTTTTATTAAAAAATGACATATGATGTCACTTTTATTTAAAAGTGATGTTTGTCAGTAAAATAATGGTAGAAATCAATAATGTGACTAAAAAAAGTGATAAACACTAAAAAAAAAAAGTAACAAAAATTCAAAAAAAGTTGCACATTAAAAAAACTTGTATAATTCCCAATTTTTTACAATGTCTTCAACAACTATTTTATCCATCATCTACGAAGATAACCATTTCCTATATCTTCCTTCATGTTAGGGAAATACCTCAAATTGACCTAAATAAAGGAAGGATTTTTCAAAATAGCCTTTGACTTTTCTAAACATTTGGAACTACCTAAAACACCCTTAAACAAATATTAAAAAACAACCCTTTATCTAATATAAATCTTCTATTTAAGTCATTAAAAAATTAACAAATAATTTTTCTAAAAATTTGTGAGAATTATTAATGACTAATTATAAAATAGAAAAACCCAAATATAAGAGAGGACCATATAATATAAAAAAGGTTGTTAAAAATAAAAAAAGAAATTAAGTTTGAAAAAGAAATTGATAAGATAGGATATCAAGAACAATTATATGCATCACAAGAAATATTAAAATGTTTCAAAGAAAACTTATTAGAAAATTTTGTTAAAGGAATTGTTAGAACAATAATTATAAAAGATATACAAGATATCATAGATAAATTGGAAAAAAGGAAGAAAAATATTTCAAAATATGATATACCTTTTAGAACAGATATAGATATGATAACAGATATTGATATTATAAATTCTCAGACATTATTAGACTTTGAAGAATTACTTAAAAATCTATAAGAAGGCAAATAAAAAATAGATTAGTCCTTATCTTAAGATTTTATTTTAACAGTAAAATAAAAGAGTTTTTGGAATATAAAAAATTTTAGATTCATGGTTATTAGATTTTTAGATTATTGTTCGCTCATAGTAGCACCCGCACAGTTGGTATCAGAGCCATAGAGATTACGAGAGAAAATATAAAAAATAAAATTATGATTTTAGAAATTATTGAAACTTATAAAAATAGACTAAGGTACCAGGTAAAATATAGTTCTGACATAGAAGGTTATATAGAAGAAGATAATATAGTTGGAACATATAGTAAAGATATATAAATTAATTGTAAGATTTATTAAAGATAGACGTACATATGAAATAATTTGCGAAATATTTGAAAATGAGTTGTATCACAGAGAAATATATGAATCATCATAAGAATATAATGGAAAAAACTAAAAATATTTTAGATAGGAAGTTAGAAAGAATAAGATTAATAAATAATAAAATTTTAGATGAATTATTCATACCTGGAGAAATGACTAAAACTCAAGAAACACAGCTATTAAAGTTAAAACAAGAAAGGTATAAAGAAAAAGCAAGGTATTATGAAGAATTAAAAGAGCTAACAAATCTTGAAGTTATAAAACAAAAATATGATAAAATGATAAAATAGTGTAAAAATGCTGAGTGTATAGTATTTTATTATTGTCAATCAAAAAATCGATAAAATGTCAATCAGTGAATATATGGAAGAATTAAAACATCTAATAAGAACATTAATAAATGATGTACAAGAAATTAAGAAAGAAATAAAAGAAGCTAGAAATGATATAAATATATTGAAAC